ATCCGGTTTAATATACTCCCATTTTTTGTGTATAGTTTAAATCCAGTCCAAAGATTTACTGTCTAGCATTTTCTCAATCCTAAATATAATTAAACCGTGCAATTAAAAAAAAAAATTGAAATTTCTTCATTGATTATTCTTTAAATCTATGTATTCAGTAACTGCAAAACGTTGGCACCATACGCACTCGGCTATATCAAAAACGCAAACTTGGGAGTCCACGCGTAGCAACGGCAGGGGAGGTTGCTTATCCCCTTGATTAATGTGCACCTAAACAGCTCGGTTTTCGATATTTCACAATAAGACGAAGTAAATTATAGGTAAAACGGAATCTTGGAAATAAAAGTGGATTTGCTTCCCTGGTCCCGTCTTCTATTCGAATAGGTTAACTTCATCGCTTCCCCAGAAACTTTCTGTTCGTCCTACAATGGTGTGCTTTTTGATATCTATATAGGTATCTCCACTTACTACGGCCATCCCCGGCCTCTTTCCCACCACATTTGCAAATCCCCTTTTGCGCTTGTTCTTCGCTTGTACTGCGAATGAGCTTCTCTCGATCCTTGCTTACTGCTTCGATCAACAGGTGATTCAGTCGTTCACTTCGGAATGACGGTCTGTCTTGAACTACCTATTTCATATTTGTAGATAAACTGTATATCTTGAGGGGGGAGGGGAATGAAATTTGTCCTTGAAAATGAGGTTAAACGAAGTCAATTTTCGATGACCTTGAATAACCAGGTCACTGGGACACATGGTTCCTCACAGAATCGAATATGCAACCATGCACCTCCGTTTTCCAGTTACTGTTGCTGCCACTGCCACAAATGCTGATCTCACACCTGCTCAGCCAAAAATTGCATCTACTTTTACCTTCCGTACGATGCTCTGGTTCACCTCACAATTAGCACCGTGAATACCGCAGACAGTTGTTGTTTCACTTTCTTCCCCGAGTCTACATTTTCTCATACACAATTACCGCAAACGATAGGACGTATTCCACGTGCATTAATCACATATTTTCGGATGAAACTCTGATATCAACAAGGCGGTTAGCATGGAATCCCGGAATGGGTACGGGGATGGGGTAGACAAAAGGCAATAAGAACAAACTGGAAAGCGCAGTCGAAATCAATTCTGTATGCATGAATGATACATCCCTGGGAAACTACAATGTACCTAAAAGGCACTAGGTAAGTAGCAAAAATGAGGCCTAGACACACGTCATGAAAGAGTTTGAATCAAACTAAATACGGTCTTATGTTGTTTGCATTGTTTCAATTGTTATTGTTGGTGGTGTGGTGGTGGTGGTGATGATGATGATTTTAATGCGTACGGTCGTTGATATGGTGCATCGGCTATCAGGGTCTCGCATGATCCTCGGTTCAACTTCGAACGGCTGATTACGT